GCTCTGGTGAGTGGGTGGAGGCTTCTGGAGGTCCTCATATGCTACCAAGTGTGTCTGTGGTCATAGTCACTCACAGCAAACCCAGCACCAGATAGGAGAAAAGCAGGAGCCAGACTTCAGCACTGGGTCCCTGGAGATGTCACATAAACACACTCGAAGCCACCAGGCCCCAGTTCAAGAGGAACAGAGACTGTAACTAAGTGTCTCACGAGGAAGCATCCAGAAGGATCCCTTAAAACAAACAGAAGGCGTGGGAATCAGGCACTGGAAATGGAGGGATGTGTTTCTACCCCGTGACTCCGCCCACCTTGCTGGGCTCCCTGGCATCACCAGCAAGAGTTCTGCTGACAGTCAGCAGCAGACTGAGCCACATTAAGTTAGGACCACACAGGCCCCAGCTTACTGGCATGCTGGGCACTGGACCCCAGGAGAGCAACATCCCAGCTGTGGCTAGGATTATGCTTTGTCTCCATCTAAATGATTGACAGTCAGCCCAGCCCAGAGGAATGCAAACTAAAGGGACACAGAAGGAGCAGAGGAGGCGAAGTACTTTCTCTGTCCATGTGACTTTTGGATCCTCATTTTATTTTCCCACCTTTCCCATGGGCTGTGGGAAGGTACCCTGCACAACCTGGGCATTTACTCTCACACCCTGGTCTGTCCTTGGTGGAAAGCCAGGAACCAGACCAACAGGAAGAAGACCACTTGATCACAACTCGGTGGTGACGGGAGCCCTTAGTGGTGAATCCGGGGATAGCTGGCAGGTGCTGTGAGTCCCAACATCAGCTCGGCTCAGACAGAGTTGCCGGGTGGCTCTGCCTTCCTACTCCTTGGGCCTAACCTCCTGTAGTCAGCAGTAGACACCCACAGTCTCAGACATCCCCTGCAGCAGGGTCTCTTTTTTTTTTTTAATTTATTTATTTATTTATTATGTATACAACATTCTGTCTGTGTGTATGTCTGCAGGCCAGAAGAGGGCACCAGACCTCATTACAGATGGTTGTGAGCCACCATATGGTTGCCGGGAATTGAACTCAGGACCTTTGGAAGAGCAGGCAATGCTCTTAACCACTGAGCCATCTCTCCAGCCCCCAGCAGGGTCTTCTTGAATTTTCTGGATGGGGAAGCTGGGTCAAGGACCATTCCCAAGATGCCCAGGGGGTCCTTCCATGAGATTTTTGAAGGTGTGATCTAAAATAAAATGTACCCTCTGAGAAGTTTCGTTTTCCAAGCTGAAAGGGGTCCTGGAGACAATGGGTGACAGGCGACGCCTGGAAAACAGTCGGCTGGGCACATTCTGTGTAGTGTCTTAACGATGAAAAAGAAAAAAACAAAACAACAAAAGGTTCTAAATTAATGCACGTTTAAATTTCAGATGCAGCCCACTCTGTAAAATTTAGAAATTACACCACAGATTCCACCCTCCACCCTGATTTAAAAGGCATAATACATGTATGTGTGTGTGTGTGTGTGTGTGTGTGTGTGTGTGTGCCCATGCCACAGTGCATATGTGAGTGAACTCAGGCTTCAGGCAAGCACTTTATCTGTTAAGTCATCTCGTCAGCCCCTCAGAGAACAATTCTAAGTTTTTTGTTTGGTTTGTTGGTTTTGGTTTTTCAAGAGAGAGTTTCTCTCTCTATGTGTAGCCCTTGCTGTCCTGGAACTCACTCTGTAGACCAGGCTGGCCTCGAACTCACAGAGATCCACCTATCTCTGCCTCCTGAGTGCTGGGATTAAAGGTATGTGCCACCATCATGTGGTTAATTTTGAGAGTTTTAGGAAATATCCCCCCATTTTCATGATATGGAACATTCTAGTGACCTACAATCACCTTCTTCCCCATGAGTGGTCGACCACCCTCCTCCCTGTGACTGTGGACTGTCCTTCCCTTCCGTTTGTCTTTCCTGAGTCTGACACTGGATTTTGAAGGAAATAATAAAGTCAGCTGTGGCAGCTCAGACCTGCAATCCCAGCACATATAAGCTGAGGCAGGAGGATTGCCTCAAAATCACAGCCAGCTTAGGCTTCCTAGTGATTTCCAGGATAGCCAGGGCTACACAGAGAGATTCTGAATCAAAACAACAACAATATATAAATAGAGGAATAAATAAATGAATAATTAAAAAAACAGGACACTAAGCTGGGAGGGAGATTTTGTGGGGTAGCTTTAGGGGAGTTGAAGGGAGGTGGTGGTAGATGGGACATAATTAACACAGCTGTCTGGAACTGGGGCTGGAGGCCAGCACTGACATCAGGCAGCTAGTAACCAGCTCCAGAGGTCTGTCACACCTCTGGCCTTTCCGGCACCTGCATTTATCGGCACATTCTCACATACAGACACACATGCACATAATTAAAGAAAATAGCTGGGCGGTGGTGGCGCACGCCTTTAACCCCAGCACTAGGGTGGCAGAGGCAGGTGGATCTCTGTGAGTTTGAGGCCAGTCTGGTCTACAAGAGTTAGTTCCAGGACAGGCTCCAAAGCTACAGAGAAACCCTGTCTTGAAAAACCAAAAAAAAGAAAAAAAAAAGAAAAAAAAAGAAAGAAACTTTTCAAAGAATAAAAAAAAATACTATTTTTTTCTTTTTTCTTTTTAATCAATGGGAAAGCCCCTAAGCCAAGCCCTTCTGATCATCTGGGCTCGTGTGGGCTCTGAGAAAACAGCAGAGGTCACAGGAGTCCTGCTCACTGATGCCAACACATTCACTCTGTGAGGTGTCAGTCTGACACAGGCTTAGCAACACACAGGGCACTGGAAATTCAGGGGGTCCAGATCTGCGACCAGAAGCTACAGAAGGCAGGCGCCCTTTCCTCTCTCACCTGGAGAGTCTTAAGGTGGCAACAGCACCACCTGCTGGCAAAACAGCGCCCCCTTTTCCTTTTTCTCCCTGGTCTACCCGCGGAAACCGAATCGTGAGGGCACACCCCCACCCACATTCTGTCTCTTAAGCCTCATTTTTTTTTTTCAGGTCTCATCCCTTACTCCCAGACCATTGCTGAACTACGAAAGATCAGTTATAACCGACTCGCGTTCTGTGTATGAACAACCCAGACTCTTGTTCTATATGTGAAGAAAGGTCTGAGGGCTCTATGCCCGTTCTTCCATATCACCCGTAAGACAAGCCCAGGAGCAGGCTGATGCAACTGGCCCAGAGTTCATCAGGTGCCCAGGGAGTGGCCAGCTATGGATCTGCCGTCACCACAAGCCCTGAGACAGACCATCCCGCCTGTCACACACACAAGGCTCCATCTTCACCTCTCACGGATGGGCAGCACTGTTACCTTTCAGAGTCCCTGTGTCCACCACCTGATCAGAAGTGGGAGTAAAATCCACCGCGGGGAAGAATGATCCTAGGAGGCCCTCAGGAACCCTACAGACATTTCTCTGAGCATCCATTACCAACATCGCCAATTCTTCCGGGTGTCTCTGAGAAGGGAGCCGAATGGAGGGGGATACTATCACCCGTATTCTACCCTCCAGCCCAATTTGGGGGGACTCCTCAGTGAAGCCTCTGTCAACCTCCCCAGCACCCCACATTTATCAGGGACATTAAAACGAAAGCGGCAGGAGAGGGCAATTAAGATTAATAGTCTGCGGCTGCCGATTGAGAATCACAAGGGGGAAGTAATTAGATTTTACAGGAGGCACCGCTCCCTAAACCAAGCCTCACAGCATGGAAGTCCCCGGTCCAGAGACCCTCCGAGGAAGTCTTTTTGTAAAGACTTTCCTGGTGACAGTCTCCCAGCGCTCCGTCATTAACGCCAGCCACTGACGGCGTCTGAATGTGGCGTGTTCCTCATTGAGATTCATCAGACCTGCCATCATCCCGCCCCTGCAGACAGACCTCCCATCACCACTGAGCGAGGCCAGTACCTCTTTCCCCAAACCAGCCTCGGGGCCCCACACCCAGGAGTTGGAAGACTGAAGGCATAATGAGAAAGGATAAGGGTTGAGCCAAAGCCCCCTGCGAGGACCCTTTCTTCCAGGCCGGGGAATTCTCTGTAGGCTGCCTCCTTTCTTTGCAAGAGCGGTTCGCGGAGGGGCCCCTATTCTCCTCCCACCTGACCCGTAGCCAGCAGCATCCACCCGTGGCTCCTAGCTGCCTCTCTCCTCACTGGCAGGCAGCTGTCCCCCGCGCGCAGACTCGGGGGCCTGACCACCCACACAAGAGGGGAACCGTGGCCTGTCCTGCCTCTGCATGTTGGCCAGCCCACCCTCCTCGAAAGCCTCACAGCCCCAGTGACACTCTCCTTGTGGAGACCGCGCGCGAGGCAGGCAGAGGACTCGCAGAGCGCGGTTGGCAGCACAGTGGAGGCCGAAACTGGGGCTAAAGCGCCACCTAGTGCGCGCGACGCGCTCCCACGACGTCTCTACTGTCCAAGGCAAATATCCAGGAAAAGGGGACCTAGATCTGGAGCAGGGAGAATGTGGGAGGGTCGGATCTGCGAGGACAAGCTAAGGGAGAGAACCCAAGACTCAAACTGGAGGCCAAGGAGGCAGAGCTCTAAGAGCCTGGCAGTCTCTAGTGAGTCTCAAGCACATCCCTCTGAGAGCCCAGGGCCGGGAGACCTCTGTAATTAATAGCGAGATTAAAACCATTCTATAATAACCACCAGGATGATACACATTGAACACTTGCTCCCCGGGGCGCGGTGGCGAAGGAGAGTGGGGGCTCCTCCTTCTGCAGATCTGGTCGACTTGGGCGGGGTCACTGGGCTGGGCCTGAGAGGGTGTGTACGGGGGGGCGGAGACTTGATGCAATTAGGAGGAGAAATGCTCTGCTGCCACGGTCACCTACTCGTGGGCCCGCGGGATTAAACGTATATAAGGCAGCGTGCCCGAAGACACAGAGCCGTCAGAGCAGCAGCGCTGCGCGCCCCGCGCCGCTAGCGCCCAGCTGCCTTGTTGGCCACGAACTCTGTGCGCCTGCCATTTGCTCTGCACCGCAGCCTCCACGCCACCTTTGTAGTCGCGCCTCACGAGCCCTCCCTAGGTGCCATGTGGAGAACGCAGAACGGGCGTGCAGTGGTCCGAGCCCTGGTCCTGGCCACTCTGTGGCTGGCCGTGGCTGGGCGTCCCCTGGTCCGGCGACCCCTGGCTCTGTCCGGTGAAGAGCCACTCGTTCTCTACGGTTGGGGCAAGAGTACCCGACTGCAGCACCTGTACGCCGCTGGTCCCCACATCTCCAACTGCTTCGTGAATATCCGGAGCGACGGCTCCGTGGACTGCGAGGATGAACAAAACGAACGAAGTGAGTGTCTGCCAGCTCGTTCCCTGGGGTCCCTTGCGCCCCTAGGAGTTCGTGGGCGTGCTACCTTGGCCTTAACAAATCCCCTGGACTCCCAGACTGGGTCTGGGAAGGGGAGAAATAGTGTGGTTCCGCTGTACCCACGTGTTGCTTGGTACCGGCTGCAGCTTCTTCCTTCTCTTGCCCGCAGGTTTGCTAGAGTTCCGCGCGGTGGCTTTGAAGACGATTGCCATCAAGGACGTCAGCAGCGTACGGTACCTCTGCATGAGCGCGGACGGCAAGATACGGGGGCTGGTGAGTGTCCCCCACGCGGCGGAATGCTCGGGGCCGCGCTGGGTCCGTGTTGGGTCTTTTCATCCCCTGCTCGGGCACAACAGGAACTTCGAGGGCCAGGTATCTAGTGCTAGTGAAGCTAATGTTACTCCCCTCCCCCGCCCCCTGCGGAAAGTGATGGCCCCAGGCTGTAGCGGGGGACTGAGGAGGCCAGCGGAGCGTGTCTAATTCTTCCAAAAGGCGAGCTCGACTGGCTGCTGAGTCCCTTTCAGCTTTCGGTCCCTTTGATATTGAACAGGAAAACCCACCTCTGCCCTTTTCATCTCCAGCCTTTGCGTGTGTGGTCCTCGATTTCCTTTCTCTCCCTCAAGTAAAAGAAAAAACAGAAGAAAGGAAGTGTCTTTTCAGTCAATTTCTATGTCCTTGGAACACGGTGTGACGTAGGACTGGGCTGCTTTAGAGTGTCCCTAAGGGGCTCACCTGCTTGGGAGCTGGGGGGTTGGGAGTGGGGCGAGCTGGTTGGGGGTCAGGTCTAGGTACCCCTGAAATTCGGGAGACTGGAAGTGGAAAGGCTTGGGCTCTGTGGGAACAAAGGCTGCGAGTTCAAAGAAGCCTTCAGCCCTCCCTCTGGCAGTACGGGAGGCAGCCGTGTGAGGTCCCTTGGCCAGTCCTGGGCTCCTGGGAGGAGAGGGGATCGGAGGAAAGAGGTCCCCATCGTGGCCACCGGGCTCCAAGTTTTTGTCGCTTCGTTTTTTCTTTAAGAGTCTCAAAATTGTTTGTGGCTCTTAAGGTCGATTTCTCTACGTGAAAAGACCACAAAGAAAGAAAAGGGTCAGCAGAGAAGAGAGCGGTCTGCGGGGAGGGAAGGGCTCTGCAAAGGAGCCGGTTTACAAAGAAGGGGGTCCGGTGCCTGTCCGAAAGCTGATACTCCAGTCCTGAACAAATCTCCCACCACAGTGTTTCCTGAGATATTTGTGGTGAGGGTGCTGGGAGGGGCCTTCGACCTCCATTCTATCTAATCTGAGTGGGGTAGGAAGGCCTGTGGGAGCTTTGCCCCTCAATTCCAGTGCTGCCCCGGATCCATTGAACGGACACAGTCCATCACAAATTCTCCCTGACCTTTTTTAAAAAAATAGAAGCTTCACAATCTATCATTCCTATATGAAGAAAGGGTGACCAGTTCTCCCTAATAATTCTCCAAAAGAAACACGTCCTGTGTTTATCTATACTGCACCTTTTTCAGGGAGCACGGCCCCTGCTGCCTGGTGGCTCTATCCCCGTGCTGTCAGCCAGGGCTGGAGCCGCGCATTCACGGAATTAGCCTGTTATCAGAGCCTTATCTGCCATCGCTCTTCCACCTGCAGTTCAGCGACCTCGGCAGGCTTAGGAGAAACGCGGCTTGTGTTTACAGAACCATCCAGGCTCCCCAAAAGGATGTGGCACCAGTTTGGGAGACTGCCACTGGTACCTCAACCCTGGGGAACTAGGAATGTTCTGTTCTGGTATTGGGGATGGGGGACCAGGAACAGCTTCCTGCGGCACAAATTTCCGGCCACCCACAGGGTCGAGGCTTGGCCCTGGGCGTGGGGGAGGGGCTGCGGATTATCAGGCAGATCCTGGCTTGCTGCCTGTGAGGGGGGCTTCTCTCCTCACAATGGTAGGAGACTCAATCACCTCAGCATTAGAAAAGCTTCCTGTGCTGCAGGTCTCGACAGGAACTCCCTCTTTATCCCCGGGGCCCCAGGCAAAGCTGTAGTTACTACCCGAAAACGCCTAAAACGGGGAGCAGAGTTCGCCAAACTGATAAATAACACTAGACTTTAATGTCACTAGTTAAAAGCCAGGGAAACTTGCACCCTGTCATTGGCTGCAAGAGGATTGCTCAGCCTAAGGCTGGGATGGATAACTGGTACCTGCCACGCACCTGCCAGCCCAACCCTCTGGAAGCTGAGGTAGGAGGATTGCTGTAAGGTCAAGGCTATGGAGTGAGACCCTGTCTTAAAGACAGCCATGCGGGGGTTAGGGAACAGAGCTCAGCTGGTCGGGCCCAGTTGCCTAGTGTGCTCAAAGTTCTGGGTTCAACTGAGCATTGCATAATCTGAGCACCTCTGTTCCCTCACTAGAGGATCAGGAGTTCAAGGTCAGCATAGCGTTCATGCGTCTGTTTCAAAAAGAAAATCCAGGCCTGACAAGGTATTGAATGCCTTTAATCCCTGTACTCCCGAAGCAGAGGCAGGTGAATCTTTTGAGTTCAAGGCTAGCCTAGTCTACACAATGAGTTCCAGGCCAGCCAGGGCTTCATTTACTAAGATTCTGTCTCAAGAAACAGTGCTAGGATCTAATCGATATGAAAGTAGAAAAAGACAAGATCTCCTGAGTAAATTGGGAGCATGGGAACCTTGGGAGAGGGTTGAAGGGGAGGGGAGAAGCAGAAAGGGGAGCAGAGAAAAATGCAGAGCTCAATAAAAATCAATAAAACTGAGAGAGAGAGAGAGAGAGAGAAAGTGCTAGGATACTTCAGGGGTGGGCTATCAGGGCCAGTCTCATGCAGCCCAGGCCAGCCTTTAACTCCTATCTCTTATCTCTGCCTCCCAAGTCATGGGATGAGAGGTGATTTTTCTATGTGCTTAAAGGCAATTAATTGCTAGAGAAGCACACTGGTGGCCGTGGGGACGGGCCACCACCACAGTGCTTTTGCTCATGGCTGTCTGTCTCTTTCTCCAAAGATTCGTTACTCGGAGGAAGATTGCACCTTCAGGGAGGAGCTGGACTATTTAGGCTACAACCAGTACAAATCCCCGAAGCACCACCTCCACATCGTCCTCCTCAGGTCCAAAGACAAGCAACAGCTCCAGGACAAAACCCCCTCAAACTTCATCCCTGTGTTTCCCCGGTCCTTTTTGGAAGCCAGGGACCAGCTGGAGTCTAAACTGTTTCCTCTGCCCCTGGATCCTGACAGCATGGATCCATTCGGGATGGTGGAAGACATGGAGATGAAGAGTCCCAGCTTCCAGAAGTGACAGACTTCCAGCAGGATGAAGAAAACCCCAATAGCCCATGAATTCCCCTTTAGGAGGATGCGCTAGAAGCTGTACATATTCTAAGTCTCGTTGACCATGTGTGGTTTTAGTGGCTAGACTTGATCGTGAACCTAAATTGACTACCTGCCCAGCTACCATCCGAGTCCCACTGACTTAGGTGGCTGCTGACCTGTGGCTAGGTGACTCCAGCTGTTTGAATACCTCCACTAATGGGGAACTCACTCCTTTGAGACATTCTTAATTTTGAGCCAAATCTGTGTGGTTCGGACATTTTCAGCAGGGTAGCCAGAAAATGTGAAGTCCACTTAAAATTCGTGTGCAGGAGTTGGGTTCAGGAGTATGTATTGACTGGCTGGACCCTGTAGGGTCTCAATTTGCCCCCAAGTGCCTCCTGGCTAGAACTGAGGGGGGAACAAAGGGCAGCCCGGAAAACCTTGGGAGCCTTGCAGGATGATTTTGAGATTAAGAATTCCAGCTGACCACTTAATTCCCTTTCCCCTACTTCGAGATGTCAGATGGAAGTGACCCTCAGCCAGGCTTAGGAGTGGACCCCTCAGCTGAGTGGGTAGCCAGGCTGCCACCTGTGCCCCAGTAGTTTATCTTGGTCACATGCCTCCAGATCTGCCCAGGGCACACCCCATCTCAGAGCTCACCTGGGCTCTCCAACCCCAGAGTAGAGAGCGCATGGGCCAGCCATGCCCGCTTGTGCTCTCCCCCAGTTCCTGGCTCTTAACCCCTGGTCACCAGGCATTGTGTGAATCAGTGTGTCCCCTGCTGCCTGTATCAGCCTGCAGCCCGCATTTGCAAAAGAACAACAATATTGGGAAGCCCTAAATTTTTCAGCAACTGCAGGGGAGCCATGGAGCCCGCTCCACCGCACTTACTGGGCAGTGTGATATTTATAAGTAATTTATTTTGTAGACATCTCTTATTTTCTTACTTTATTTATGCCCCAGATCATATTTATGTACATGACATTTGTTTTCTACATTAAAAAGCAGTTGGTTTGTATCAAATTGTTCTGTTCCAAGTGGGATGCAAAGGAGGCAGAAAAGAGCCACTGGAGGGGTGACAGCCCTGTCCTAGACAGGGGGCCTGGTGCCTTTGTTGGCAATGAGTGGCTCCCTTTCTGCCTGCTCAGACCCCTCATATCCAACCACCAGATCAGGCTAGGGGAACACAATAGCTTCAGTCAGAAAGTCTGACCAGGCTTTGAGGACACATTGGTTGGTGGGGTGGCGGGGAGACTTGGTCTTTATAAGACAAGTTTTCTCTATTATACAGCTCTAACTGTTCTAGGATGCCATGCTGGCCTCTAACTCACAGAAATCCACCTCTTTTGCCTCCCTAGTGCTGGGATTAGAGGTGTGTGCCACCACACCCATCTACCAATATAAATGTGTGTGTGTGTGTGTGTGTGTGTGTGTATTGGAGAGTCACCAGAATGCAGATTCTTTGTGTATCAAGGATAGAGGAAACCTGGCATTATGCCCAGGTCCTGATGCCTCTACTGTCTGTCTCACTGGGAAAGCCAAAGTTTCCTTAAAATTTTGTCGAATTCCTCTGCCATCTAGGAACCAGGATGTTACCATAAGGCCAGATATTCACTCTCGCCCAACAGCAAGGCAGGCTGGGAGAGCAAGTGTGATTCAGGTGCTATCACCAAACGGATGAAGGAAGCAGGGCAGGGTGGACAGGGGAGGACAATGTGGCCATGTGCCTTCAGCTGGTGGGTTCAAGAACAAGGGCAGTTAGAGTCAATCTGATTGCTGGAGGAGGGGCAGGAGCAGGGTGGCTCTGAGGGACTTTTCATCTGCTCTCTCCTAGGGACCCAGAGAAGAAGTGAGTGGCTTCCCCAAGGGAAGCAGAGGGCTCAGATCTTCGGCCTCTCTGAGCATGGCAGTCATCACCCAGCTTTGCTTTACCTCTTCTAGATTAGAAACTGACTCTAGAAAAGCTCCCAAGGACCAGAAAGGAGAAAGTGGGGACCGGGGAAGGGCTGAGTGGCCAGGGAAACAGGAGCCAGAGATGGGAACGGACCAGGCTGTGATACAGCAGAGGTTTGTATTTTGTCCTGATCCCCATTTCCTGTCAGACAGCTTCAGATATCCTGGGAATCTCAGAGAAGATGTATCTTTTGGTATGCTAATGGATTCCTGAGCTGGAATCCCTCACCCTCCGAGCCTGGAGCCCCACCCACCCCAATTTCAGGGAGGCCAAGAGACTGATGTTGACCCGATCACCAATGCCAACACAGGTGATCTGATCATGCCTATTCCATGAAGTCTCCACAGGAACACATTTAGCACCTGGATCAGAGAAGCTTCTGGGAGCTTCTGAACTTGTAGCTCAGCCAGCATCTGGAAGGTCTGGGAAGCACAGAACCTTCTCGCCACCCTGGTTCCCTGCATCTGTCCGTCTGCATTTTTTATACTGAACAGCCTGAGCCTGGGTGGCGCACAACTCTAAATCCTAGTCCTTGGGAGGCAGATGCAAGCAGATCTCTGTGAGTTTACAGCCAGCCTGATCGGCACAGTGAGTTCCAGGAGAGCCAGAGACCCTGTCTCCAAAAAATCGTAATAAATACACAGCCTGCTGGTTCGTAGATCAAATTATTGGAAACCCAGGAAGAGTGGCCATTGGTGGACTCCGAACTTGTCAGAGGGGCCAAAGCCTAGGAGGAGCGATAGTTGCAGGTAGGGAGCCTACCAGCAGGATCTGCTGCTGCTTCCCTGGGCAGGTGACTGATGTAGAGGGGTGTCCCTATGGCAGTCACTTTGTAGAGGTGAGAGACCATGAAAGGAATCTGCATTGTAAATACACATTAGGGAAACTGAGTCTATGCTTTTTTTTCTTCCTCAGACTTGGGCTCCCCTCCCCTTGCTGTGTGGTAATGGTGGGAGGCTCTGCCCAGGGTGTCGGTAACCGGCATCTTCTGTTGTCTGCTGCACCTTCCACTTGGTGCTTTCCTTTGTTCTGGTTTTTTTTTTTTTTTTCAAGATAGGATTTCTCTGTGTTATCCTGACTGTTCTGGAGCTAGCTCTATAGACCGGGCTGGCCTCAAACTCACAGAGATCCACTTGCCTCTGCCTCTAGAGTGCTGAGATTAAAGGCACGTGCCACCACGCTAGGTTTGTTTACTTTTATTTTATGTATAAGGGTGCTTTGCCTAGGTGTAGGTCAGCACACCCATGCACACAGTGCCCAAGGAAGCCAGAAAAGGGCATCAGATGCCCTAGCCTTATAGATAGTTGAGGGCTGTCCTATGAGTCCTGAGATTGGACCTGGGTCCTCTGCAAGAGCAGCAAGTGCTCTTAACCACTGAGCCATCTCTTCAGTCCCTGGATTGAAACTTTTTAAGTTGATGCTAGTGGTGGGGCCCAGGGTCTTGGGCAATGGTCAGGGTTCTTCTCAGAGGGTCTCCAGACCGCAGGTTGGTGGTCCCCAACTCTCTAGCCTTCTGCTCCTGACACAGAGGTGCAGGTTGTTTTTGTTCGGGGACAAGGTCTTACTGTGTAGTCGTGGCTGTCCTGGAACTCACTTGTATAGACCAGGCTGGCCTCAAACTCACAGAGATCCTTTTGCCTCTGCCTCCATGCACCACCATGCCTGGTGACGTGTATGTTTTTGATATTGTTTGGGCTGGAGATAGCACCCAGGGCCTCACAAGCCTGTGCATGCTCATTACTGAGCTGTGAGTTCCAGCCCCTGCCCCAGACACATTCTCTGCATGTCTCCCTCCTGCAGGAGGTTGCAAAGGCTGGTTGCCCTGCATCTTCTGCCCACCTCTGGGTTCCAGTATGACCATGTGGAGCAGAACCCTGAGACCTGCAGCGGATACAGGAACTGTGAGTGGCTGGGGAGCAAGCCTCAGGCAGTTATGTGGAGTCACAGAGATTTGAGGCTAGCCTCTCAGGGTGGCTTCCCAGCCTCATGGGTACAGTCTCAGGGTGTGCCACAAAGTAGGAGGAGCATGACTACATGAAAGGAGGGGCACAACCATACATCACATACATCGGCTCAATGTAGAGCACTGGCAAAAGAAGGCAGAAGATGATGCAAGGGGGAGGAGCTTGGTTCTGCCTCAGCTTGATGTGCCATGCTTTGTTGACTCCCCTGGGAGGCCTTGTCTTTCTGAGTAGAGAAGGAGGAGTGGATGAGGGGGCAGGAGGTAGAAGGGAGTTGAGGAGGGAGGGGAAATTGTGATTGGAATGTTAAATAAATAAATAAGGGCTGGAGATATGGCTCAGTGGTTAAGAGCACTGGCTGCTCTTCCAAAGGTCCTGAGCTCAATTCCCAGCAACCATATAATGGTTCACAACCATCTATAAGGAGATATGGTATCCTCTACTGGCCTGCAGGCAGACATGCAAGCAGAACACTGTATACATAATAAATCTAAATAAATAAATAAAAGAAGGCATAAGGAACAGAGCTGGCAGGGACAGGGCTCAGTGGTGGATTATGGACTGAGTAGGCAAGAGGCTCCGGGCTCCATCTGGGGCATCTTGTAAAAAGAAAGAAACAGGTAAGAATTTGCCTTCGGGGACAAGGGAGGTGCTAGAAGTCTTCCTCTATAACTTTCTTCTGTGTTTCTTTTTTCAAAAACACTTTAAAAGGATATTGGGGGGGCGCTGCAGAAAAGGAGAAAACTGGATATCACGTTAAATGAAAGAAGACAGACTCTGGCCAGCAAGAGGGCTTAGCGAGTAACTGGCTTGCCATCAAGCCAGATACCTGAGCTCTCTCCCTAGATCCCGCAGAAGAAGAGAGCTGGTTCCTGAAAGCTGTCCTCTGACTTCCATATGTGCACACACATAAAACAAATCTATAAAATGCTTAAAAACAAAACCAGACTCAGAAAAGCAAACATAGCATGTTCTCTCTTGTACACAGAATCCAGATTTAAATGTATATGTGTGGAGGCTGGAGAAACCGCTCAGCAGTTAAGAGCACTGGTTGCTCTTGAAGAAGATCCAAGTTCAGTTCACTCACACAGTGGCTCACAAACTGAAACTCCAATTCTAGGGGAATCTTACACCCTCTTTTGGCCTCCTCAGGCACTGCACACAGGTAGTGCACGTGTGCATATACATGCAAGCAAAACATCCATACATTTCAAAAAACAATTTAAAAATAAGGAAAGTTTTATGTATATATTTATATGAGTGTATCTAGACAGGGGTCGTGAGAGGAGAGGAAGAGATCTTGAAGGAGCTTGAGGAGGAAGAAAATGGAATTCATGTGACCTGAATAAAAAGGAGAGATCTAGGGGATGACTCAGTGGTTGAAGCACCTGTCAGGCCAGGTGGTGGTAGCACATGCCTTTAATCCCAGCAGTCGGGAGGCAGGTGGATCTTTGTGAGTTCAAGGCCAGCCTGGTCTATAAGAGTTAGTTCTAGGACAGGTGCCAAAGTTACAGAGAAGACCTTTCTTGAAAAACAAAACAAAACAAAAAAACAAAAAAAAAACAAAACAAAAACATGACAAAGTACTTGCCAGAGGCATAAAGACTGGATCTCAGCACATGTAACTGGAGGAGAAGTGGCACCCACCTGTAATTCCAGTCTCTGAAGAGGCTCCCCAGAGCAAGCCAGTTAGGGAGACTAGCCATACTGGTGAGCTTTG